TTGTGGCAGAAGATAGAGCTACGGTGTTTTATTGAGGGTTAAATATATGTGAGATTTTGTTTGCAAAGCGCGCTATTGATGGCAGAAGATAGAGCTACCGTGTGATGGCAGAAGATGGAGCTATTGATGGCAGAAGATGGAGCTACCGCGTGATGGCATAAGATAGAGCTACCGCGTGATGGCATAAGATAGAGCTACCGCGTTTTATTAAAGTTTAAATATATATGCGTTTGTTTGCTATTGATTGAAAAAATTGGACTACCACGTTTTAGCTGCTAGTTGAACATTTTTTTTTTTTTGTTGTGGCTTATTAGAAAGTGAATCACGGATTTTTGGGTAGCGAAATTCACCGAGAGACACACCTAAAAGATTTCTCCCAATTACTCCTCACGGACGTAATAGATTTTTCACCCTTTACCGTGTTTATGTTTTAGAGAAATCATAATCTTTTTCTATTTCCTTACCATTGAAGTGTACCCAAACAATGAAAATGTCATAGTGTAATCTATTTTCATATAATAGATTTGTAGGTTCCTTAGATATTACCCTTTAGGAATTTAAGGCATTATTTTTTTCAAGTCCTATAATTTTAAAACTTTTCTTTTCTTGAGAATAACATATGGATTAAAAAAAATACATCTCCAAAGGATCCTAAAAATAATCCTAGCCTTAAGGAGTAAATGAACAATTTGATTCCCCAGGAATATATAATCTTTGGGCAAAGAAATAATGTAGTAAAAATACTTAAATACATAAAAGAATAAGAAGACAGCGAAGTGTGACAATGGATATTTGGATTCTTTAGATGTTAAACCATGTGCATTTGTTATCATAATTTTAGCATGTCTTAATTTTGGAATCAGTCAACAATAAACTCTTCAAAGAAAAAAAAATGTTTTAGGACCAGTTTGGATGTCAAATGAAAAAAACCTTTACATTGCATTATTTTTTTTTATTTTTTTTTTTAAAGTTTTTTTATTGTTTATTAAGAAATATTATCATCTTTTTTATTAGGCTGCTAGACTGTTTGGACGGTGTGCACATCCTAAAAGCAAATTTGCATTTTACCTTTCCAAAATTATCTTGCCAATCCACAAGGTTTTTGTGTATCCCTTGCATTGGTAAAAATTTTGCTTCCATACAATACGTAGAACCTGCAACCCGAGCTTCTCGCTTACAAAATTGAGCTCCAAAATGGGGCATATTGATCCCTCGATTTCAACCACTGGCAAAAGATGCACTCTCGCAAATAAGAGGGGATTGTGGCGTTGCTCGCCAGTGACATAGTGCACCAATTACTGGAGGGGATCGTGGCGTTGCTTGCCAGTAACACAGTACGCCGCTTCAATGGAAATGCGGTTTTGGTTCTCAACGCTGACCTCCAATCGCTCGAGGGTTTTGAGGAGGGACAAGGCTCTGAGGAGCAGGGGTTGGTGGAGACCAAGCACATGGTGAATCTTTTGTTGAGTAACCATCCCAAGAATTTTTTGAATCCAATGATTAGAAAGAAGAGTTATGGGCTTTGGATTACAGGAAGTAGTCGAAATTTCAGAGAAGATGAGGGGTTCAGGGGCATAGAGATTGTTTGGGAGCTTTGGGGTGAGGACAGTGAAGCATAACTCTAAAAAGAAGTCTTTGGATGCGCTAATTAGGAGGCTTCAAGATGCCGCCTAGGGCTTGCCATGGATGGTGCTTGAGCTTGTCTGGTTTTTTTAGAGAGCGAAAAATGAAAATGCTCTGCTTATTCAGGAATAGAAAGGGTTTGGGGATGGTATGAGAGAAAAGGCTCATTTTGTAAAGAGAGAAAGCGCTTTAGGCTTACAAAGATGTCGCCTAGGCTTGCCATCGATGGGGCTTGAGCATCTCTGGTTTTTAAGATAGATAAAATAAAAATGCTATCCTCATTAAGAAAGAGAAGGGATTTCATAGGTGTAATATGAGAGAAAATGCTCGCTTTGCATGGGTGAGAGAAGGCTACACTTCATCTGAAAAAATTCAAGTCCGACATGAATTATTTTGTATGGTACGTTTTGCTTTGATATGGCAGTATTTTTTCTTTCAGTCTAAAAATCTAGTAAAATCTAGCGATTGTCCAAACAAGTCAAAGTCCGTTTTACAAGATTTTTGGATCGTAATCCATAAATATTTCAATTTTGGGTACATCCAAGCTGGCACTTAATTTTGTTTTTAGTAAGTGTGAATCTCGTTTAAAGGAGTCTTACCTTCAAAAAAAAAAACGTGTTTTAAGGGAAGTGTTAATCTTATTTTGCAGCGAAGGACTTGTACAATAGCAAAGCGGCACATTAATGCAAAGTTAGCTCTTTCAAAATGAGAGTATGAGGTTAACTAATGTGATAAAAGAAACGAGAAAAAAATTAGTGTTAGTAGTGAGAATTTAGAGTAAATAATAATGTTGCTACAGTATGCTCCAAGGGAGCATAGAACTTTTGCCTTAAATGAAATTTAAATATTGGAAGGTGGCTCCAAGGACTATAGTAACAAAATTGATTAAATGTTTGCTTTCATATAGGGTGTTAGCTATAGGTATCGAAAGATGATTATTTTCTTGTAGGGCTCGGCATGGCGATCGATTTGATGCCAACTTCGAGTCATGGATCATGTTTTTAGTGTACGATCATGTGATCTGAAATTTGAATGGATTTTGAAACTTCAAATCGATAGTGTACTCTCTTCTTGATGTTTTTCGGTGATTTCTTCGTTTAATTACACTGAGCATGTTGTTACGATGGCGAGGCAACAAACGCAGCTTGATTCCGTGCCCGAATGAAGATTTTGCAACTTTGGAATTTTGGCCGGAATATGAAATTCCGGTGATGGAATTTGCAGTCACTTCGTCGGCTTTGTGTGCATAATCCGACCGTTCATCACGTACAGGGTTCGGATAAGTGATAGCCCGAGACCTTACACATACGATAGAATTGGTCTCGATCGGAGTTTGTGAACGGCGTAATCTGGCCGCTCAAGCGAGGCACGACGCTGCTGAATTTCCTGCACTTTCTTCACGGATCAACAAGTTCTTCTAGTTTTTCTTCGAGCTCGGGTGTCGACATGGGGCATGCCATATATCGAATCGCTCGTCTTGACTAGAAGAACATGCTCACCAAATTTGAGCACGATCCGACTTGGGATGGGTGAAATATGAGCATCGAAAGTCACTGGTCGTGAGTATTCCTTCCATGGGATGGAGTTGCAGGGTGGCCGCACGAGAATAGCGTGCAGCCCCTCATGTTTCACTCTTTGCCAATAACTTCTTCCTGGAGTGTCCGTTCAGGCTGAAATTTGACCCTTGGGTATTTTCGACCGTACCAGATTCAATGGTGGTTGTCCCACAAAGATTTGAGACACCAAAAATGTAGCTCTAGTTATAGGGGCCGTTTCAGGGTGTTGGAGGCTGATTCTGCTCAGTCTGCACTGCCTTAAACATGTCGGACTACAATGAAACTTGGCTGGAGACTTTTGAGAGACCTTATGAAGATCTTGGCCGATTCTATGGCTATTCTGAGACTACCGAAATTTTCACTGTTTGCTAGGCTTTATTAAGCGGGGGCCCCATGTTGATGAAAACAGCATACCCCACCAAATGTTGTGCTTCGAGAGAATCAATAAGTGCAATCATTCGGGAAGTTTGAAGGATCTTGTCGAAGTTCTCACCCTCAAGGGACTATTTACGATTCTGAAGCGTGAGGCTTTTGTAGGGGCCTCCTCAGACAAAATCAAGCCTTTCCTGAAGGCCAAATGCTATGAACCTTAGGTTGGCATTGTTCATTGCTACACCAAGTTTGCTTTTGATGCTCAGGGTATCTCTGTAGGTCCCGTCTAGCGGGGTCCAGTCAGGGCTTCTGACTCGTCCTGAAAGTCTGGTCCCATGTAGGCTAAGGGATTTTGGCGAGGTATACCCTAAAGCTTGTCGCAGGTTAGACTCTGGATTTTTCAATTTCTTGCTTTCGTGATGGTTCTTATATTTCTAGAGGGATCTTTTGGTCATTGTCCTCACCCTCAAGGACTCTCGTTGTTGTTGAATTGGGGAGATCTTATGCAGCTTTCACTCCTTGAGGAGCCATGTTGAAGCGTGGGGGATCTTATGCGGCTCTCACCCCCTGATGAGCCATGATTGTTGGGAGAACTTATGTGGCACTCACTCCCTGATGAGTCATATTGAAACGTGGGGGATCTTATGCGGCTCTCACCCCCCTAATGAGTAATGATGGTTGGGAGATATTATGCAGCTCTCACTCCCTGATGAGCCATATTGAAACGTGGGAGATCTTATGCAGCTCTCACTCCCTGATGAGCCATGTTGAAACGTAGGAGATCTTATGTAGCTCTCAGCCCCTGATGAGCCATGATTGTTGGGAGATCTTATGCGGCTCTCACTCCCTGATGAGCCATGTAGTGGCTTTTGAGGATTTTAGACAGACTTCATTAGCCAGGATTGTGACTGTTTGGAGATTGAATGTCGGCTGAGGCGGTGGTCCTGCATTAGCCTGTCTTGTCGGTCCAAGCTCTTTTTTACGGGTTTTCACTTGAACAGGGGAAGTGGCGTCGTGAAGACGGTTTTCACCAACTTATTCTACTTTTGAGCTCTTTTATCCATGAGCTGCGGTCATATCCACCCTTTTCATTCGAGTGAGAAAAAATTATATTTGACAGATTTCAAAAATAGGTGGAAGAAAACCCAAAATTTTTGAGGTCATACCCACAAAAAAGTGAGCAATAACCAGTCAAATTGAGCCAATAATCTTCTAAAAGTATTGATTCCGATAATTTGTAGTCGAGAAATTTTGGTTGAAAAATGAGGAGAAGCATGCTCTATGGCGGGTTTCATATAAAGTAAAAACATCCCAATGTTTCAATGAAAAAAGGTAATTTTTAACGAAAAGATTTTTAGGGAAAATAATATTGATGAATTTGTCATCCAATTTAGCGCTTCTTAAAGCCCTTAGATCACTGATTCCAATCATCTGTCGATCGACAAAAGAAGGAGAATGGAAAAACTCTACAAAGAAACCTATGTTTAGTGCGAGAAAGGGATTGTACGACTCCATCGGCTCACCGTTTGGTGGTAATTGTTGCTAGTTCTCCGACAAGAAGCGGATCCCTTATTGAACCGGGCCGGTTCGAAGAAACACGAGGGGATGATGGAGAGATCGGTGTTGCCCACCTCCTCTTTACGCCTCTACGCCATCTACCTCAAGACCTTCGCCCAACAAAAAGCCTTAGCCCAAGGCCAGATCCTCCACGCCCGCCTCCTCGTCACCAACACTAACAATCACTCTCTCTCTCATCACCTCATCCTTTGCTACACGCATTGCGGCCGCCCCTTCGAAGCTCGAAAAGTCCTCGAAAGAACCCACCGACCGAACCCGCTTAGCTTCTCAGTTCTCATCGGCTCGTGCAGTCGGCTTGGTCTCTTCCGAGAGACCTTAGACCTCTATGGAACCATGCTCGCCCAAGGGCTTGAACCCAACAGGTTTGTTTACCCGAGTGTGCTCAAAGCGTGCGCCAATTTGGGTGACCGAGCATTTGGGGAGTCTGTGCATCGAGCCATTGAGGGCTCCGTGGTGGCTTCGGACCCACATGTCGAATGCGCATTGGTTGATATGTATGCAAAGTGCGGTTGCATTGACAAGGGGCGCCAAGTATTTGATAAAATGCGTAAAAGAGATCTAGCAGCTTGGAATGCCATGATCTCAGGCTATGCGAACAATGGGGGCTGGATGGACGCTTGGGGGATTTATGAGTGGATGGTGAGGGAGGGTGCGAAGGCGGATGCATTCACGTGGAATTCTCTGGTGTCTGGATTCTCTCGTGCTGGAGACCTAAAAATGGTTTTTGAGTTTATTCACAGAATGAGATTACAGGGGTTTGAACCAGATGTTGTCACATGGACTTCGATGATTTCTGGCTCGATTAAGGCCCGACGATACCACGAAGCATTTAAAAGCTTTCGACAAATGATGGCATCCGGAATTCCTCCGAACTCTGCAACGGTAAGTGCCATCCTACCTGCTTGTAATGGGCCATTTGGGATCCATAGAGGACTTGGGATCCATGGGTACTCTGTGGTGACCGGACACTACTCTGATGTGTGTGTTGGTAGCGCCTTGCTCAATATGTATGCAAAGTGTGGGTATGTGGAGGAATCATACAAAGTTTTTGAAGAGATAATAAACAAGAATGTGGTGGCATGGAATTCGATGATCCAAGCATTCGGAGCGCATGGTCGTGGCTTAGAGGCAGTTGCACTCTTCAACCGAATGCCTACGGAGGGCCTTGTGCCGGACCATGTGACATGGACTACAGTGTTGACAGCCTGTAGTCGGGCTGGATTACTAGCGGAGGGCCATAGGCTTTTCAAGGAGATGCATAGTGAGAACTCAGGGGTTGAACGGGTAACAGAGCATTATGCTTGCATGGTGGACCTATTAGGTAGAGCCGGAAGGTTGGCAGAGGCTCGTGCATTGATTGAGGGTATGCCAATTGCGCCGGACTCCTATGTTTGGGGGGCATTGCTCGGGGCTTGTCGAATTCATGGGGAAGTTGATATGGCCAGGAATGTGGCCAACAGATTGTTTGAACTAGAACCCAAAAGTGGGGGAAGCTACGCATTATTATCGAGTATATATGCCGGGGTGGGGCGGTGGGATGAGGCTGAGGAAGTAAAGGGGATGATGAGGGAAAGAAAGGTCATGAGAAAGCAGGGCCGTAGTTGGATTGAGGGACCAGGGTGAGAGTTTATATTTTATTTATTGTTTTATTATTCAATATTATTGATTACAAAGCAATTTCATGAGCATATTCAAGTTGCAGATGAAGTGCAGAGAAATGCAAATGCATGCATGAACAAAAAAAAATATTTGCATGTGGTGGGAGCAACTAACATGGATTCTCTGCATCTTCTGTGAGGTAGTTTTCATCAGATCAGAAAGCTTTGATTAGTATCCGGATCAATTGGGCCCCAAACTGATAATGGGTTGTTTGGATCTCACGGTATCCAAAATCATGTTCTTGCATAAAAACATGTTTGGCAACTTTTTCTTATACATAACTATGTTTTCTACGTACCTATATTATCTGTGACCAAGAAAGAGGGCCAAAACATCGTTACACAAAATCAACTAAAAAAAAAATTTGGGTTATAAAAGAAAGACATAACTTTTGCGAAAGCATGAATAAAGCAATACAATATAATACAACTGATGATGATACTATTTTAACACACCAGCCCACTTTATTAAATACAATTATTTCTACCAAAACGTCCCCACAAATTAGAAAAGCCTACTTTATTAAATACAATTATTTCTCCACAAATTAGAAAGACAACTACTTCAAAGTTCAAGTTTTAGGGAGAAAAAGTATCTTAAAATTTTAGAAAGATAAACTATATCAAATTTTAGATAGATAAACTATTGAAAATTTTTAGAGAGAAACTTTCAAAACTTTTAGAGATAACTATATGAAATTTCAAGTTTTAGAAAGAGAAAGTATCTTAAAATTTTAGAGAGAGAACCTATATCAAACTTTAATGAGAGAAATTGTTTGAAAGATTTTAGAGATATAAAGTATATCAACTTTTTAAGTTTTAGAGAGAGAAAGTATCTTAAAATTTTAGTGAGAGAAGCTATATTAAATTTTAGATAGAGAAACTGCCTAAAATTTTTTAGAAATGGAAACTATTTCAAGAATTTTAGAGAGAAAAACTATCTCAAATTTCAAGTTTTAGAGAGAAAATGTATCTTAACATTTTAGAAAAAAAAAACTAATATCAAATTTTAGAGAGAGAAACTACCTAAAAAATTTTAGAAAGAAAAAATATCTCAAAATTTTTAAAGAGAAACTAATTCAAAATTTTAAGTTTTAGAGAGAGAGAGAGAGAGAGCATCTTAACATTTTAAAGAGAAAAACTATATCAAAATTTAGAGAGAGAGACTATCTAAAAAAATTTTAAAAAAAAAACTATCTCAAAAATTTTAGAGAAACTATATTAAAATTTCAAGTTTTAGAGAGAGAAAGTATTTTAAATTTTAGAAAGAAAAACTTTACCAAATTTTAGAGAGAGAAATTACTTAAATTTTTTAGAGAGAAACTATCTCAAAAATTTTAGAGAAACTATATCAAATTTTAAGTTTTAGAGAGAGAAACTATATCAATTTAGAGAGAGGAACAACCTGAAACATTTTAGAGAGAGAAGTATCTCAAAAAATTTAAAGACTAAGTATATCAAATTTCAAGTTTTAGATAGAGAAAGTATGTTAACGTTTTAGAGCGTGAAACTATATCAAATTTTTGAGAGAGAAATTACTTAAAAAAATTTAGAGAGAGAAACTATTTCAAAATTTCTAGAGAAACTACCTTAAATTTTAAGTTTTAGAAAGGAAAATATCTTAAAATTTTAATGAGAGAAATTATACCAAATTTAAAAGAGAGAAACTACTTAAATATTTGTAACGATAGACACAATCTCAAAAATTTTGGAGAGAGAAATGGTTAACTATCTGAAATTTCAAACTTTTAGAGAAAGAAATTGCCTCAAAAATATTTGGAGAGAGAAAATATGTCAAATTTCAATCTTTTAGATAGAGAAACTATCTCAATTTTTTAGAGAGAGAAGAGAATCAGGTTGTACAAAAAAGGAAAAATGTTTCATGTGGGTTGGACCGCATTTCTACAATATGCGGTCCCAAGGCATAAAGCTTCTATCTTAAAGATGGATGCAAATAGGTAGTCCATCTAAAAACAATTGAAACTAACGGTCCAAATGTTTTTTTATTATTTCTAATTTTCAGAATTTATTTATTTTTTCATATTCATGATCTCCATGTTAGAGATTACATGTTCTTAAAAATCAAGTCCAAAAATCCTTGTCAAAATTAAATTTTTAATGGGTGACTCATTTCTACATGGACTCATAAAAACCGTGTCCTAAAAAAAATGACCCAAACGTGATATTTGCAGAACATGTATACCATTCAAAACTATCCAAACAAATCCTGTTTGAGTAACCAGGTTTGACAGAACAAGATTTGGATTCAAAACTTGGGTTTGTTAACCCATGGAGCCAAACGAGCCCTAAGTCTAAGTATTGGCCACATGTCAAGGTTTAAATTAGAAACATGAAAGAATTGTTTTTTAGGAAATTTATCAAAATACACATACGAGATCAATTAACACTTAACACATAATTTTGATTTAACTCCAACATACTTATCAAAATACACAATGAGTATGAGTTGGAATAGTTGAAACAGGGTAAGTTGTTAAAGTGTTGAAACATTAGGTATATTTTCATAAGTTTCACTTTTTATAGAAAAATATAGCAATTTAGGGCAATATTTTGATATCATTAGATGTAATAGGCCTTACAATAGATGTAATCATTGTGTTATTTTTTATTTAAGAAAAAAGTATATAAAGGGTGTCAACGTTATGGTATTGATAGAAGGTGTATCTCTAAAGTCCTCTATAATAGAGGTTTCTGATGTTGGTAGCCGCTCCAATTGATCATCTCAACCTCATATGATATGTGATCATCTCAACCATCTCAACCTCATATGATATGTGGATATGAAGTGAAAAAAAGAATTTCAAGCTTTAAAAATGATGTAGTTCGTAATAAATTATTTGAATTATCTATTATCAATATTTTCAAGTGTTCATAGATCTGCTTGATCCGTACCAAATTTTAAATTTTGAATTTTATAACTAAGGATGAAAATATATCTTTCAAACCGCCATAAAGTTTCTAACACGAGAACTATATCTCCAGGCAAAATTTAGAGGTGCGCCGTACTTCTACATTCTAAGGAGGTCACAACTCAACCTTTATTTGATACCGTGCTAATGTTGTCAATAATCCTTGAACTAATGTTAATAATGGAGGTATGTTAATAATCACATCGATTAGTTGACTTTGAAATTATTTTGGCCCACTTTAGTCGGGCCTGTCTAATGACTTAATGGAAATTCAAGCTGAACCACTGCCCTAACACACAAAATTAAGGGGCACCAAAAGAATTGCATGTACATTCTAAGACCCTGTTAAGAGGACCTTTGCTTCGCAAATTTACTCAACTGAAAAACAGCGAGAATGTGGTGGTTGTCTAGTGAGAAATGAGAAATATTTGTTAATTATGAAATCTATTTCTGGAAATAAATTTGATGGAGATTAGAGTTCCTATAAATTGGAAATCTATTTCATGCCTCTGCCCATATGAAAAGGATTTCCATAAGACGCTGCTGTTCACAGGGTTCATTTCTTTATTTTAGAGCCGTTTTCCCATTTTAAAAAGATGGGAAAGCTCGTCACTTTGAGAGCGGAAAAGTCATTCATGAGTCAGCGGGTGCAACATCCCGCTCACTCGTTAATGTCTATCTCTAAGAAGATGGACGTGGTAAAGCTCATAACTTTGCATAAAGGAAAAGTCATTAATGAGTCGGCAGGTGCAAAAAACCCGCTTACTCCTTAACATCTATCTTTTAGATGGATTTTGTAAAAAAACTTAATTTAGACGGTGTAGAAGTTTTCAATAAAAAAAAAATCATATTTTAAATATGAAAAAAGTTTATATAAGGTTGCAATCTTAAAATGTAAAGATGCACCTCAAAAATCTATCAGAAATGTTGTTTTAATGTTGAAAAACCCTCTAATTTATCAACTCTACATTAAGATGTATGAATATGAAACAAAAAAAAGTTTTTTAGTCCTAAAAATAGTGCATCTTGTAACACATTATCTAGACCGTCTATTTTCAAGATTTTCATATGTTTATAAATCTACTTGATTTTATCCATTTTGGAGTTTAAATTTTTTTAATTAGATATGAAAATGGATTTTAAGATAATTGTAAGATTTTTTTACAACAAAATTACATGTTATGATAAAATTTGAAAGTGCGCCTTAATTGGATTGTTTAAGGTTGCAACCTTATAGAAACCACACCCTTTAAATATTGAAATTTTATTTCATTTCCAGAGTCTAAGCATCTTAACCTAGATCAGGATTTGGATTAAAAATCCATTTTTGAGATACATTTAAGTAGGGCCCTGCATATACACAGGATGAGCCGGCTGACTCATAGAAACCCCATCCAAATGGTGGCAAAGTCACACATGAGGTTACTGAATATGCCTACGAGACTAAGGGCTTGGTTATTACTGTGTTAATATCCAATAAGACTTAATGTTCATAATCCAACTAAGCAGATAATCAATGGTTTTGAAAGATAAACACGTGACTTTATTGCAGAAAAATATGCACAAGATAGGGTACTTTTTCAGGTGATTGGGCTCAGTGCGTGTGGGACATCATCGAGCCCGAGAAAAACATCGGGGGTTGCCATTTAGGCTGCGGCCAGAACAGGGGCCCATGGGCCTGGGAAGTATGGGGCGTACAGGTCGGGCCCAATTTAGGGATCAGGCTTTGAAAGAAATACCTATGTGATCTTTTGCAAGGAAAATACAATTTTTTTTTTTTTAATAATGATCGCCCTTTATAATTTTGGCAACAAGATCACTCACAGATGGTCTTATTATAAATAATAAAAATTTCAAAAATAAATAACACATTAATAAAATAAATCTCAACTACTTGATGTCATTCATATAACCTAATATTGTGCTTATGAATATGAAATAAAGAACAAGTAAGTATAAGATAAAGATGCTGGAGATTACCTCAACCGAGCTTCTTACACCCCACATCGAGTCACCACATTCAATGGCGCGAGATCTGCGGTCTAGCTTCAATCTTGAATCAAGAAAGCTGATTTTGGCCAAACTATGTAACCACCATTAATTCTTACAAAACCCTAACCTCCAAAAATAATTTAAGCTTCCCTCTAATTTATACAACCCTTAGTTTCTTTTTAGTTCAAGGGAGAAAAAGAGTAGTACCATTAGTTTTTTCTTAGTTCTAGGGAGAAAAAGAGTAGTCCCCTTAATTCCTTCTTATTTCTAGGGAGAAAAAGAGTAG